AAATGATGGAATTTTAATATACAAACAATAGAGATGACATGCGCCATTTTGAGCACTGAAAAGAGCAATCAACAGCAATAAGTTTTCAATGCATCATTAAGCATGAAGGAAGCTTGAAACTGACTTAAAATGTCAACAGAATAATACCTGAGCTAATACCAACTTCGTTTAACTTGGAAATGCTAAGTGCGTTCAAAAATTATTTTAATGTTTTTCTGATGAATTATTGTAAGCAACAAAAAATTTATCTGTTATTTTGTTGAATTTCTCAGTACTCATTGTCAAAAGTACAACATTCGATTGATTTTATAAGGAAGTTTTATTAAGTAATTATGCCATCATTGATTTCATATCCTCAACAAGAAGTCTTGCTTGATTTCCTAGTCTGGAGAGTACAATATTTTTTTTTTACACTTCGATTTTATTTTAAACTCTTTCTATATATTTGAGAATTTTCCAACTTTTCTTAAATTAAACAATTTAGATTATCAGAGGACTATTGCATCAATATGAAAAATATATAACAAAGTGTTGTAAGTGAATCATTTATTTTCAATAAAATTTTTCATTCTGATTCAGTGTTAATTTTTAGATAACATGTTTATTTCATTGAATGAAACTTTTTTAAAGCAAATATTTAAATTTATTGTATTCAATTAATTGTCACATTATTGCTGTACTTTTTTCTTCTTTTCTTTCAATTATATCTCATTTCACTTTTATAGTACTTTTGCAATTTATTCAACGTCATTCATTTGATACACGAGAACATTATTTAATATATATTGTTCATAATCGGTTCCATCCGTAGCAAAATGTAAATGATGGCGTGATGACACGTACATATGCATATTCACTTCAGGTTTGCTTTATCAATTTGCAGTAATGTAAAGATTGAAATAATGCTAACATATATGATGTATCAGTCTTAACACTGATAGCAACTAAAAGAAACATGAAAAAGAAGGAAGTTGAAGAGAGCTATTGAAAAGAAGATTAAGAGGAGTTGTTGATAGACTTTAGGTTTGTGACATTGATATTTGTGGTTGAAGTGGTGGTCAAATTAATGTGTGAAATGAACGGGAATTTGTGCTTATGGAAGTACTTAAGGGAGAGATGAGGATATGATGTGGATTGAGCACGGGGATAGAGCGGCACGGGAAAGACATTTTGGAGAAGGGAGGAAGAGGTGAAATGAAATAAGTGAAAGAAAGTGGACAAGAATGTGGGAGAGGGTGGTGCTGCATTTGCTGTTCACTCATTGTCGCATGTTTAAGATATTTACCGAGCCCAATGAAAAGACTTACTGCACTGTGTAGGGCCAACTGCTTTGTGCAGCTCCTCCTATGATGTTTAGGCCCGTATATGTGGCCCGATAAATTGAGCCCAGTTTGATCATCAATGTTCGTCTAGGACGCAAGAAGCGATGGGTGGAACAGACTGAAAGAAAGGGAGATAATCTGTTTTTATTTCAACTATTATTCGCTGTTTACTCTGTTTTTAACTATTGTCCACTCTCCGCCTCCCATTGTTCTTATGGATATGAAATTGAAGCAGCACACGACATTGTTGTTATATAGATTACTTTTTCAAATGCTAACAAATTATTCATTCATTCTCTTTTCTTGTTTCCTTCCCGAAGTCACAACTCTAATCAAAGTGCATCATCATTATCATTATCTTCTTCATCTTCATCATCAGTAACACATACGTGTTAGCATTTTCGACTTTACTACATCAGCCTCCGTCCCTCTCCTTTCCAATCCTTAGCTTCCTATCATTAATTCTTCCTTTTTGTCCTTTCATCAAATTCGCTTATTGAACTTCTTTTAACAACCTCTCTCTCGTTAAATTTTGATCAACTATAACCGTTTCAGCTATAATTGCAATCATTACGCTCTTCGAATTTCCAGGAAAAAAGGCACAACTGATACCGGCAAACTAAATTGCCTTCTGCACGCCCTAACAGTGATTTTCTTTCATCTCTTCATTTCACTGTAAAAAGAAACAGTTTTCATAATCAGGTCGAGTAGAATGAAATCATTGCTTTTGCTCTCAGAATTGGCCTCAAAGATTTTGACTTCTTAGAGAAGTGAAAAAGCAAGCGCTTTCAAAATATTAAAATGTATAAGCTTGATAATTGTTGATCAATTAGATAGTAACTCTCGGGAAAAAATATTGTAATATCAATCATTGTAATGCTCCTGAAATGATAATATCCGAAAAGAAGGAATACCAATTATTTATTCCCTCTTGAAGGAAAGAATCGTATTGTTCACTTTCTTACCACTACCTTTAATATCTTTTCTCGTTACAGTATTGTATTTTGAGGAAATTATTATTTGGTTATTATAATTTCTAATTCAATTAAAATTGAATTCTCTGTGTGTGCATATTCAAATAAGGATGATTATTACGGTAATGATTACTTACGCTAATGAATTTAGTTTTGTATTCTCCTGCAAGTATAGTATTCAGTAATTATTGAAACTTTATAACTCAACGTTCTTATTACTTTTTTTTTCTATCAGTTCATTTGATACATAGACAGAATGGCACTAGAGGTCATTAATCATTAGCCATTTCATATATTTCAAACTTGATTTCTTAAATTGGTGCTTTTGATCTTTGCTATAAACAGTCTGTCATATAGAACAGTTTTGTTTTAGTTATCCTATGATTGGTCTAAGTTATTCTTTTAATTTCCCATTTTTACCAAAAAGTGATGATAATGATTGTGACTGTGACAGCAGTTATGGCGAGGACTATATGGCACTTTGCTGCACAGTGTGGTGGCCAGAAAGATATAGTATACTACAAAAATCCTCAATGCTATGTTACTTATGAATTAATATTGAGTAAGATAAAATTTCGACTTACTCTCTTTGAGACATTTGAGTCCCACTCAGTCTTCAACTGGTTATCCTGAGATTAACTCATCTTCCTCTTTTCTCGACAGATCTCATAAATGAAATAAGGCACATATTCCTACTACTTTCTCTTTCGATGATTGGGACTATCGTAGGAGAAAGATCTTATAATGAACATTTCGAAAAGCGTTTTTCTTTACACCTTCTTGCATCCTTCTAAAAGCAAAGGATGAAATGCCAAGTACATCGTCGCCAAATTAATTATTGTGACTAATAATGCCACTTGCTAATCTCTTAATTGAAATTTTTTGCAATATTAATTCATTATCCTTATAAGATAAATGTTTTTATAGTAATACTATAATTTCGCTAAATTGAATCTTTTGGATTATGACTTGAGCAAGTAAGGAATCAATCACATATATCTTCCTCTTAATAATTTTATTTTGATCGTCGAGATTAGTTGCTCGGACTAAAAAAAAAAAATATAAAGTCGTTACATCATTCCTGAAATTAAAAAACAAGAAAGAAAATCGCTTAAACTTAAGAGAATTTGTTGAAGTAGCCTATATTTTGGAATTACTTTGATTTAAAAGGCGAAGATGATAATATCCAAACGGCATTTTTCTTCCAAGATCTTTGTCTGAAGCGCATTAATCATTAGAGGACCTTTTCAAGCTAAAGAAGTGGAAGAGTATGTATGCTTTGCTGTTTATCTCTCAGGAAAGTAAAATGTTCAATAATATCACAACCCTCACAGAGCCTTTTTAATAAATGGCTTTATTTCTCCTCTCATTCTTTCGTAGCTCTTTTTTTACTTTATTCTTTTTATTAAATGAGGCGTCTTTAGCCTTTAGCCATCGATTGGTAATTTTTTCTTACAGCTTTTATGATTTTTCTTTTAACTTCGACTTTTTTTTATTACAAATTTAATTTCCATTTTTTCGTAATAATTTCTTAGAAAACTAAGCGATAATTGAAAAATAGTTCAGTTTGATTTTATTGTTGCTACAAATAGGAGTGATTATTATACACGAACCTTTTCCGTCAATTTTTGTTACTTACGCTACGAGTGTAACATATTAAAATCGTCCATTCTCGTTTTTCACGTACGTCATATCTTACCAAACGTTCTGTGTTATCAGTTAGTGTTAGAAGTGGTATGTTTTTTTCATCTCCACAAGATTTTTTTTTTTTTAAAAAAAAAAAGAAACTATTTATTGTTACTGAAACATAGTTTATTTTTTCATATATTCTCTGAATATTCAGTTTTTTTCAAAATCATATCAATTCCATCTCTAAATTGATAAGTATTATTAGTAGTGGTGATACTTGACTTTAAATTACGTTTTTTTCTTCTATTTTAATTACTTACTGATAATAAAAAACGTTTCTTTTTTTTCAAAAAAAAACGCAAAAAATTGTGAAATGAATTAGAGGAATGCTTTTTTTGTCAGAATTTATTACAAGCCTAACTGTATCTTGTGTAATTGTATATTTCTTATTCAGATATCATTAATTCAATAGCTAATAAATTTTCTAATTATTTTGTTTGGGCTATCGTTTCTACAGATAATGAAAGACGTTCCTTGAGAATTGATGATTGCTCTATTTTGTGTTCAGATTGTTGTAAATTTTCAAATGCTTATAGAAGTCGTACGATTGCGGCGTGCGTTGTAGTTTATTATTGTGACAAACCAAAACAACCCTTAAATGGGGTCTGCCCTGGAATTGAGCAGAAACATCTGCTGTTGCTACTACTGTTATTTCATGTTAACCAGTATTAATATAACATAATTTGAGTGAAGGTTATCATTCATCCAATAATAATTATTGTTACAATTATAATACTTTTGTAATGAATAGTAGGTATCCCAGTTTGTAAGTATTTTTCAGAATAACACTGAAATATAGTACTATATTTCAGTGTTATTCTATATTATTGCGAAAAACTTCATTGTTTTTCTTTTCAATATTTTTTAGATGCAGTCATATTGACTTAATAAAAGAACGGAATTTTAAAATTCTTAAAAATAATGTATAGCAAAAAAAAAAATAGAGCATTATTTAATGTTTGAAAAATTTTTTAATATAAACTGAATTTAAGAACTGGCCAGTAGTGGCAGTGGGATGCTGCTCTATTACTTGGCGGCCATCTTCAAAGGTCTCCATCCTCGAGTTGATGATGATTTTGTTGATAAGCTCAATTACCATTATACCTCTGCCATTATCTTTGCATTCGCAATCATCGTTTCTGCAAAGCAGTATGTTGGTAAGTTCTCTCTTTTCCACTAATTAGCAAATTCCTCCAGGGCATTATTAATGTATTTATTATTATTTTGAGTCTTTTAAAAAAAAAAAAAACAAAGAATGGAAATAAGACTAAAATTTAAAAAGTTTGTCTAAATATACGAAAATTCTCAGCTTTTTCGTTGTGCTATAAAAGTGCAAAACAACATTTCTATTTTCTATTCATTTTGCAGATAACGGAAAAAATGTCTATTTAAAATATTTTTTTTTTCAGTTTTATTCAGAAAAAGACTTTTAGACAATATCGTAATGAAGTTAACAACAAACGCTCAGTCATTGCAGTGATATGTTACTGATTAAATGATGTTTATGACAATAATATACAACTCCTATTCGTAATTCAGAGATGTTAGAGAAGATAAATTTAAAGGCTAAAAACTCAATTGAACTAATTGATTTTTATTTGCTACTGAGCAACCATGACATAAAAGTTATCAGAAAAATAGATATGGACAAGTGCAAAGGATACAAAGCTAAAGAAGCTTTCTGCATGAACGTTTGCAGCACAAATCTTATTGTTTTTTAAAGCATCAATCAACTATACTTTACAGAAGTGACTTTTTCTTTCACTTATCCATCTATTTCACTGCGATTGAAGAAACTCAATTGAAGTTTACCTTGCATTTTACGATTTTTGAACTATTTTCTCTCGTTCTTCCCTAACTTTCATCTTGGAGATGTAAGCTAGAAGAAAGTAGCGAAAAACATTATTAACACTGTAAAAAATGATTGAACAGAATTCAAAAATCATAAGTGGTTGTAATGTGATTGAAATGTAAAGGTAGCGACTAGAAGTTTTAAACATTCAAGTATTCAAAAAATTCAATTCCGCTATTTTAGTTTATATGTATTACGAATTTCAGGATATCCAATCCAATGTTGGGTGCCAGCACAGTTTACGGATGCATGGGAACAGTATACAGAAAACTATTGTTGGGTGGAAAATACATACTATTTGCCTTTAACAAGTGCTTTTCCGCTAGAATATGGCGATAGGAGGTTTATTTTTTCCGCAAATTAACGTAACTTCAACGTAATTTAAAGTAACATTTAAAATGATTTTTATATTTTTGTTTTATTTACATTGATGATATGATCTTATCAATTTTCGGAGAACAATTGCAGGGCTCGTCAAATTAGCTACTATCAATGGGTACCATTTGTACTCGCTCTTGAAGCTTTGATGTTCTACATTCCATGCATTATGTGGCGAGGTTTATTACACTGGCACTCAGGTGAATCCCATTTTTATTAACTTTATGATTTTTTTGATTACTGGGATCGGAAAGGATTGAAGGATTATTTGAATCTTATCAGATGATATTTTTTTTATTAGCTTAGATGAAAATAAGTGTCCTTTGTGAATTGCTACTAATGACTTGCTATGATTCCATTGACTTACTTTCTACGGCTTTCTTAGCTAAAATCTATATTTCTTTCTGAGTCATTCTTGAAATGAACTTCAAAATCTTTTCCGTATATTTTTTTTTTACCACTCTTTCGTTACATAATTTCACGATACTTTTTTAAGCTCCTTAAAATCGCCATTGTGCAGTGCAGTACTTCTGACTCATTTAATCAAATTATTATTTTGAATGTACTTAAGGATTGAGTAATTTGTGAATTTTTGGAAAGTTATTTTTGTTAGTTATTGTTTGTAAAACAAAGTTATTGTTTGTACGAATATTGAAACAATGTTAATCGCAGTTTAATGAATTAGAAGAAATTAAGTACTAATGAAATACGATCCAGTTAAACACAGGAAGTATTACTGATGAAGATAATTAGGTGAGGATCAACTATATCCATTAGTTATTCTTGTTCAAATGAAAATAAAATACCTATACGATGAATTTTTATTATCGTTGTAAATTGGTGAAAAAAAAAAGAATGAAACATTATAGAAATTTAATGATAGTAAAATTCAGGGATAAATGTGCAAAGTCTAACACAAATGGCTTGTGATGCAAGAATGATGGATGCAGATGCAAGAGCAGCAACAGTACAAACTATTGCTGGACATATGGAAGATGCTCTGGAAATACAAAGGGAGGTAAAGATATGATCTTAAACTCACCAGTGCAATAAATGAGAAACTCAACTGAAAAATATATTGATTTAATTAAGCTGTAATTGATAATGTATTTGATTAATCTGTAGTTAATAATGAATATATCAAATGATAAAAAGAGAAATGTTTAAGATATTTCAGGTAACAGATGTATCCGGAATGTGTGTTAGTAAGAGGTGGGGTTCATATGTGACTTGTCTGTACGTATTTATTAAAACACTATATTTGATCAATGTTGTGGGGCAGATATTTTTATTGAATACTTTCCTCGGTACTGACAATATCTTTTATGGTTTCCATATACTCAAGGATCTGCTCAATGGTCGTGAATGGGAAGTAAGCGGTAATTTTCCCCGCGTCACTATGTGTGATTTTGAGGTATGCATTATTGATTAAATAAATTTCTACAAATATTAGCATCAAGATAGAGGAATATGAATATATTCAAGATTCGAAAATTATTGTCATTGTCATTCCAAAATTGATTCTTTTCTTTAAAAAAAAAAAGCTGTTATTCAATATATGAAAATGATTGGCATATTTTAGGTACGCGTTCTCGGTAATGTTCACCATCATACTGTACAATGTGTACTGATGATAAATATGTTCAATGAGAAAATATTTTTATTTCTGTGGTTTTGGTATTTCATGGTATCAATAGTAAGTATGTTTTCTATGGGTCACTGGATGCTCATGTCATTTCTGCCAGGCCAGGTAAAATATTGCTTTTTTTGCTTTTGACTAGTTTATTGTCTTATGAAACATTTTCATATCTTTGAAACATTGCTGAAATGGGACTATAAATCTGAATGTCGCTGTCATTGGCCAATTTCATTCTGAGTAAAACAATTGTTGTGAACTTTTGTTTTGTTTTGTTTTGTTTTATTTTGGGAGAGCTTTATACAGTCGAATTATTTGGTGATTGATTTTTTTGGCGAGGTTTTCTTCTTAGAAGTTATAAGACTTTTGACAGTGATTTATCAATAACAGAGTATCGACTGTATTACTTAGTTGAGTTGTTGGTTCGGGAGAGTACAGTTTGGGACTGTCTGCTGAGGTGG